CCTAACAGTACTTGTCAGACGAAATACTTCAGAGCACTATTTTCCAAACAGAAAGTCTCCCACCAAGATGGGGACCCTGTTAGCCTGGGCGAGATACTGTGACAAACCAGCCCAGTGGCCAGTCATACCCCCACATGTATATGTGGGAGAAAAGTGTTAAAATTTTACTCCCCACAGACACCATTAAGTTTAGAAATAAACTTATTTACCTGTCAGGCGAACTATGCCAGAGCACTTACCTGTCAGGTGAAATATGCCAGAGCACTATTTCCAAAACAGAAAGTGTCCCACCAAGATGGGGACCCTGTTAGCCTGGGGAAGATACTGTGACAAACCATCCCAGTGGCCAGTCTGTTACATGCATGAGATATCCCACACACTGCCCCACATTCCTTCAGGGCTGTCGCAGCTAATCTCGCTGTCTCAGCCAGAGAACTGCGTGCAATCGATGGCTAAGCTGGTGAGACGAGGATCTATATTATCCAGCCTGTCACCCAGCTCAGCTGTTGATTGAAGATCAATGAGAGTTGAAAAAAAAAACAATAACAGACTAGGGATAAAAAAATAGGAACAAAGATCCCCAGCAGGGAGATAGGTTCTTACTCCTTGACGCTAGGCAAAAAACTGAGCTGCCTTGGGGGTGTGGCCACCAGCAGGAGCCGCCCCCAATGTTGTAACCCATTGGTACAGAGATCAAGATCTCCACTGTGTCCTTCCATGAACTATAGAAAAAATCGCCTTCTGGTACAAAGCATGACGAAGTGATTTACAATTAAAGTGTGGACTTCTATTGCAAAGCTACAAAAACAATAAAAAGTTAAAATGATGAGTATAAAAAGTTAAATAAAGTAACACAAAATAGCGGTTAAACAGTATCTGAACACAAAACAACAATGTCATATATTACAGTATACCCATCTTTAGATGCAAAGAATGCATTACGTTTTCTTTTCTTCAAGCTCTTTGGCTTTATTTTTACCCAGTGTTTGTGTCAATAACACACTCTCTGTCCTAGGGTGACAAAAAACTACAAATAGTAATACTACAAACAGCGCCCCCCCGCCCCCCCTTTACCTCCATTACATAGGTAGCTTTTTTTTAGTTCACAGACGATAGCTAAGAAAGTTGAAAGTTACAAGAACAGACTTCTGGCAGGATTTTTTTCGTACTTGCTTGAAAAAAGAAAAGTAATGCAACCATCATATCTACATGCAGGTGAGAGAGAGAGAGAGAGAGAGAGAGAGAGAGAGAGACTCAGTTGATGAGGAGACTGTGTGCTGTTTGCAGCAAGATTGGAGTGGACCTGTTAGTGTTATACAGGACACACTTACCTTACCAAGGACTTTGTTTTGCAGAGGAGACGCTGGCCTTTAACCACAGACTTTGCTGGATAAAGGACACAGTAAGGCTCGGTGGAGCAGAACGTTATTTTCCTCAATGTTATGGCAAGATGCTGTTACCTTTTGTTTGATATTGTCACTGGGAATAAAGCTGTGACTTTTGTTTGAAACTTGCAAATTTGGCCCTGCCTTTGAGACTGATTCCCTACACTACCTAAACCACAATGATACCAATTTGGCTGGAACTTGATTACAGACACTCTCACATCCTTCTACAGGACTGTGGAAAAGTTTAAACTCTGCTTATCCCCAAAACCTCTCACACTGCTAAGTTAAGCTCCGAGTTAAACTTCAAACTACCTTCACTGCACCAACCCCTAATCACTTTGTGGTTATATCTCCAAATAAGACATTTCATAATGCGTAATAGGGATGAACCGATACCAGTTCTAAAAGTAAGCTCTAAAAGTATCTGTACTTGTACCGAGTACGGTACTTGGTATCGGTGTATCCCTAATGCGTAATGCAAATAAAGCTATCCTACTTAGACAATTACTTTGATTTGAAAAATCCTGTAAATGCAGCATAAGAAATGTATTCCTTAACAGTTATCAGGTTTGTGCTGCTGTTGATACCAGTGCTGAATAAACAAAGTACCGGTAAAATTTATTTAAAAGTTGGTTTAAAACAGCTACCCATTTTTCCACCGTGCAATATTTGTGAATTACCATGTTACATATTTTATTTAGGTTGTTTTGGTGGTAGCCTAGTTAAGTCTTTTCAGAACAGAAGGTATTCACATGTCTCATTCCATCACACATCCCAAAAATAAGATGATTAATTTGCATTGCAAAACAGTGGGCAAATCATGCAAATCATTCCTCTATGCCCCATCAGCCAGAAGCACATCCAGAACCACCGGTGTATAGTGCAAATACAATATAGCTTAATATTATAGAGCCATTTATTCCAAACTGCATACAGCCTTTTGACCATCATCAGTGCTGTGTATGGAAACCAAGGCTTCTATATGTTGGAAATACAACAGCATATACTCATATATTTGAGCTGTAGTGTAATGCTAGTCTTTCTGTGCATGCTTGTCTATGATACACAGGAAGTTCTCTCTCTATGCTGTATAGTGCTGTATTCTGATGTAATGTTCTCCTAAGCAAGTAAAACATAATTCAGCATACCTCAAGATCTCAGTGCTTCATTTAAACACATAACCAACACTATGGAGTAGGGATTGGGATCCAATTATACAGTGATGCTGATCAAACCAAGGAGTTCAGAATCTTCACACAGTAAATTGTGTGCATATTCATATTACTTATCCAAACATGTGAAAAGTAAATTCCCGTTTAGTTATTTTATCCACAAATGGTTGGATAACTGAAATTAACTTTTACACAATGTATTTTGCAAAGGTTCTCAACTCCTTTAGTAAATTAGCCCAAGCATAATCATACAGATTATGGTGAGAAATGGCCTAAAGGAATAAAAAAAAGTACACAGTGGTGGAGTGCCAGGGCCAAGTCAAAGCCGCAAACGCTGTGATCCTGGTAGTTTTGCCACTGACTCCCAGCCTTAGAGGGACTACAAGTTTCAGCAATGCAGAATGCCACTAGCTATAGAGGACTACAAATCCCACCAATACAGTATACAGGAATGCAGAATAATACCATCAGCTATAGAGGTCTACAAATCCCCGCAATACATAATACAGCAATGCTGAATTGCAACCAGCTATAAAGGAGTACAATTTCCAGCAATACATTATACAAGCATGCAGAATAATATGAAGGTACATACTCTGTGGACTCCTGAGGATCTCAGGAGGCTATGTGGGGTCTCAGGTGGGCTGTGCGGGATCTTAGGAGGGCTGTGTGGGATCTCGGGTGGGCTGTGCGGGGTCTCACCAGGGGGGCGGAGGGTCTTGTGGGCGAGTGCGGGTGGTGGAGTTCCCCAGAAGAAAGGAGGGGGACATTTGTGGCCGGCGCTGTAAACAAGCACAGCCTTGTCCACAGGAAGGGAATTTTACAAGAATGTAAAACCAGGTATCGGCATTTAGTACCGGAGCATTTTCACGAGTACGAGTATCGACACCATCCCTAAGTAAAACTATAAATAAAACTAAAAGTAAAAAGACACCTGGTGTCTAGTTTTTGGCTAGTCTCAGGAGACCTTTGCTATGTACTTTTTTTGCTGCATATTCAACAGATCTTGCTAAAGTAATAGGAAACTTCAATTGTGTGTAAAAGGTCAAAAATCATATACTGTATTTTCTTAAGTAAGTTCACTACTAAAAATATTTATAAACAATTTTACATTTTTTTTGTGGTAATTCTATCAGGTAGATATGAAATATACATAAATGAATATTTACATTTCCAGGCAGCAGGTGGAGCACTAGGAAAGGTGACCAGGCTAATCTTACCTGCTCTGCTGAGAAAAGCCTGTCTCAGAGATCAAAAGCTTGCAATCAAACTCACATGTATGTCTGAATATGTAAGAGGAGTGACTCGGCTCCCTCCTTCCCCATCTCTGCTTGCTTTGCTCATAAGGCACCATATAAAGATTCAATTAGAAAAAGACAGTATAACAACAAACAGCTAGTGTTGCGTTCCCTCTTAAGAAAGCAAATTTGCGCGATATCGCAGCGGAAGTCACGCGATTAAAAGCCCAGTGTGAATGGGTAGTTAATGTCCTGTGACACAAATACCCCTTGTATTAAATGTTTTTTAGATTTAAAAAAACATCAAAAAAACAAAGAATATAGATCACTGTAGTTTCCCTTTAAACAAAAAAACATTTTACACTTTCTAAGGCAAAGCTCTTTAGATCTTAAAATATGACATAGAGGCTAGTTCGAATTCGAACTTTCAAACATGGGAAAAGTTTGAGTTTGAACTCTAACTCAATGCAAGTCTATGGGGGTAGAACTTCGAAAATCAATTGTCCCCTTTTTGAAGGCTTGGGGGACAGAAATTATTATTATTATTTTTTTTAAATACTGTTTTTAAAGGAGCAGTGATTTTGACATCACTTAAACGGTAACAATAGAAATTAAAAATTCCTTTAAATATCCTGCCTGGGGGGTCCCCTTAAACTGCCTGTAAAGTGGTGCATTTGTACGATTTATAGAAACTGCTGCAGAAAAACTGACATTTCTAAAGAAAAAAATGACTTTTTTTTTTTAAGAGTGCCATTCCCCCCTCCCAAACGATACCAGACCCTTTAGGTCTGGTAGGAATGTTACTAGTGACCCCATTAAAAAAAGAAACTGTGGGGTTCCCCCCAAAAGTCATACCAGACCCTTAAGGTCTGGTAGGAATTTTAGGAGGGACCCCATGTAAAGAAAAACAAATAAAGTGGGTGGGGTTTGCTACGTTTGAATAGAAAGAGTATTGTGCATCTAAACCATTCATCTACAGATAAAATTACAATTTAGCAATTGTACTTTTTATATTAAAGATTACATACCCTTTCTTACAAGTAACGTATTACATTTAAGTTAGAGTTAACAGCCTTTCTGAAAGAATATATAAAATAATGATGAATAAAAGATAAATCACAATTATAGGGTTAAATCAAAATCACAATTTTAGGCTAAATCACTACTATTAAGTTAACATTTTAAAGAAAAACGATACATACTGTAAGGAACACATTCATATTGGACTTCTAGATATTTGTAAGTCCCCGGGCATGGGTCAGGAAACACATCTGGTCCAGCTACAACTGCACACTGCGTCCGATTATTGCATCTGAAATATAAAATATTATTAAATCTTAATCACATTCTATAGTGTACTACATTTGCCCTATGTTAGCAGAAACAAACAAATGTAAGTATCTCCACATCAACATTTGGTGCTTGTTTTCCATAATACAATTCACAAGGGGACTTTTTATGTAGAAAATGCTATGTCTAATGACAGACCTAGGTGTTCCACATGGATGTAGGTTAAAATAAAAAAAAAGGTAACGGAAGAAAAATTATAAAATTAGCACTTGTTCCTATGTAATAAACATATGATTCTCAATAAAGAAATCCAAACAAACATTCCCAACTGGATCACTTTCTGTCCAAATGATGTTAGAATGTATCACAGTAGAACAGTAAATACTCTTAAACAAATTTACCACTGGTATTGAAATATTGACCAGTTCTAGTAAATCGAAAACCAAGAAAAAAGGTGTTTTTTTTACTCACTGTTAAATCCTTTCCATGGAGGCTATTGAGGGACACAGGAAAGATTTCACCTTAGGAGGATACCACCTACAGAAGGATTGGACACTAGCAAACCAAACAACCAAAAAAGACCAGGTAAGGATTATACCTCCTACTACCAGAATGCCTCACTTTTGTAGCAAAGTAGTACCCAGAGCCGAATCATAAACACGAGGGGGGCGGGGGGGGGGGGTAATCTGTGTCCCTCAATGGATTCCAAAGAAGGGGGACATGCAAAAGCAGTTAAACCAAAGGGTGGGCAGCACAGAAAACAGATGCTAATGGTCCAAGAAAACAAGAGAAAATAGCTCAAATGGTCTCTTGAAGGACCCACAGCTGGCATCAGATAAGAGCTCAAAATCCATCTGGTAGAATGCAGAGAGCATGTGAAGAGAAAACCAGGTGGCAGCCTTGTGTAATGCCTATGTTGTCAGCGTGCAAGTGTAGCTTCACCTAGAGCAGCCTCCTTTAAGGCAAGCAGCCCTACCAGTACTTTTTTGCCCCCAAGCCTTATTTTGCGATTATATGTTGTCTAGCTAGGTAGCACAGATAGTGGAGCAAAGGTAAGACTAGGAAATACAGATGTCCACAGAGAAATGGTAGCTTGGCAAAAGCATTCAAAAGGGACTTACAATCATGGCTGGAAAACAGGCATAGGGTTGGTACAAAGGAGATTAGACAGAAATAATGACAGCTAGTCAGGCACGTAGGTAAACATCGGGTGAAGGGTCAGTGAAGTTTACATCAGGCTCCTTAAGAAGGAAGGACTAATCAAGGCTAAAGTCAGCAGAGGGTGTTACCTAGCCACAGGAAGCTGAAAGACTGAGCCGTAGGCATATTGCCCAACTGCAGGTTTCTGTGGCCAATGGGGAGCCAGGAGGAGGAGGCCAAGCTTTGATTGGACAACAGGACGCTGAGCGGCAGAGCCACTCAAGTCACCAGAAGTGCACCAGAGGTGAGCCAACCCGTGTGGGATGCAGGATTGCAGGGGGCTTACTGGAAAATAAGCCTTCGGCTCATTAGTGACTAATCCCCATAGTGTATACGAGGGTGTGTGAAGCTTTTATTTTTTTCATTAATAAGAGCCACCATTTATTATTGTTTGTTGTCAGATTGTTTATTGTATTTGATTGTTAAAATATGTTTACTTACAAAATCAATAAAAAATATCTTAAAGATATAGATGGTGCAACAAGAAAATGGTGCACCCTCATGGGGACCACTCGGGATGAAAAAAAGCAAAGCAGTCTTCCTGAAAGAAGCAATGGCTGAGAGATAGACTCTCACATCCTGAACTACATCCAGAAAATGGAGGGACATTCCCATTTAGTGAATTGGAGCTAGACAGTTGGATAAAATCATGATGTCCTTGCGGTGGTGAAAGCCACCTATGTTGGCACTATATACTATACACAAGTAAGCATTTGGCGTGCGGTCAGGTCGACATGCATCTGGATTTTTTTTTATTTAGACGAGCCAGCATCGTCGTGGACATCGCTGGACGATGCGATTGACATTGGATTACTTTGCTGGATAATTTCTTTGAACTTTTGGGGTTTTTTTTAATTAAAGGAATTGTCAAAAACTTTTGTTGTTTTTTTCCAGTTAAAGGATTTTTTCTAAAAGTCTGGTCTCTTTATTTACATTTTTGTCAACCCTTTAGTAAATGAGATGGGGGGGGGCAAGAGGGGGAGGGCAGCATCTGGGTGCAAATAAGCCCCCCTGCCCACAAACCCCCACAACCACTGGGTCAGGGTTGTGGGGAAGAGGACCTTGTCCCCATCGGCATGGGGACAAGGTGCTTTTCCAGGGGAAGTCTTGCTTCGGCAGACCGCTCTCCCCGCTTCGGCTGTGTCCTTGGCTCAGCCGAAGCCAAACGCATATGCTTCGGCTTGGCTGAACTCTTTGGCTGCTGTATGGACTATTGTGAATAGCCCATAGAGCAGCCCTTCGGTTCTGCTAAACCAAAGGGCTCCGGCAGCAGAACTGAGCCAAAGAAATAGCCAAAGCTTCGGCTTAATCCTTCCGCTCAATAGTGAATAACCCCCTTAGTGTATACAAGAGTGTGTAAAGCTTTCGTCTTTTCATTAATAAGAGCCAAACACTTATTGTTGTTTGTTGTCAGATTGTTTATTGTATTTGGTTGTTATAATATGTTTACTTGCAAAATCAATAAAAAAATTCTTAAAAAAGAAAAGAACATTCGGGTTAAAAAAAAGCAAAGCAGTCTTCCTGAAAGAAGCAATGGCTGAGAGATAAACTCACATCCTGAACTATATCCAGACAATGGAGGGAAATTTCCATTTAGTGAATTGAAGCTAGACAGGTGGATGAAATCATGATGTCCTTCCTGAGGTGAAAGGCACCTAAGTTGCACTATATACTATACGCAAGTAAGTATTTGGCATTTTGCACAGTACAGTAGGGACGAGCCAGAGAGGGATAACTTTGGAGCAGTTGTCTAGCTTGAACATGTATTGTGATAAATGCTAGCCAAGAATCCCTGTTTTGCTTAATTGCTAATTTTGCTAAAGCTATTTAAGGGTGTTATCATGTGACCACACCCCTTTAGCATCTCGTGTGTTAATATATCTCCCTGCCGTCGAGTACACCTACGTGCGAAAACGACTATTACATCCATTGCGCCGCACATGTTACATATCGCCGCGAATGTCGGAGTGAGAGCAATAATTCTAGGGCCATTAATCACTGATAACACGAAACTGATGAGCGGTAAAAGCTTTTAAAGCGTCGGCTATGGTCAATTTTGGGTATGGTTGTTTTTTGCGATTTATCAGGTGCGAGAAATTTTAAAGCTTGACATGTTTGGTGTCTATTTACCCGACGTGACCCTGTCTTTTATATTTTACAAAAAAATTGGGTAATAATAAATGTTTTATAACATAACGTAGGGAGAACAGGTTTTTTTTCAAAATTTTCGGTCCTTTTTTTATTATATAGTAAAACAAAACCTGTAGTGGTGGGTAAATACCACCAAAAGAAAGCTCTATCTGTCCCCAAAAAATGGTATAAAATTAATTTCAGTACAGCGTTGCATGACGGAATAAATGTCAGTCAAAGTACTGCAGCGCTGAATACTGAAAAATGGCCTGGACAGGAAGGGGGTATAAAACACCCCGGTCAGCAAGTGGTTAAAAAAAGTAAATAGAAATTTAAAAGATATAAAAGTGATAAAAAAAGTAAAAAATGACAAATAAATAAAAATGAAAACGTAAATAATAAAAAAGTTAATACAAAATTAAAAAATTAAAAAGTGATAAAAAAGTAAATAAAATAACTAAAAATTAAAAAATAAAGTAAAAGTTAAGATACAGGTGAAACTCGAATAATTAGAATATCGTGCAAAAGTAATTGCAGTAAGTGCTGCAAAAGGGGCCCAAACCAAGTACTGAGTACATATGCATGCTTGTACTTTTCAGAGGTCCGATATTGTTCTGTGTACAATTCTTGTTTTATTGATTGCATGTAATAATCTACTTTTTTGAGGTTGTGGATTTGGGGTTCTTGGGGTTTTCATGAGCTGTAAGCCATAATCATCACAATTATGACAAATCACGACTTGAATTATCTTGCTTTGCATGTAATGAGTCTATCTCATATATTAGTTTCACCTTTTAAGTTGCATTAGTGAAATAAATGAACTTTGCACGATATTCTAATTATTCAAGTTTCACCTGTAAATAACATTTCTAAAATGTAAAATGAAAATAATAAAATAAATAAAAGACTTGTCTTTATAAAAGAAAATAAAAGAATGTCTTGGACTTGAGCACAGACATCTCTCCATTTCTATTGCATAGTGCAGTTCAGTGACTAAACCTAAGTCTGTACCTCTCCTCCACTCCTCCAACTGTGTCTTTCTGTCCCATATTGGCACTATATGTCAATTAAAGTATACTATAAGCAAGTAAGTATTTGGCATTTTGCACAATAGAGGAGGAACTAGCCAAAGGAGGATCACTTTTACACAGATGACCAGCTTGAACATGCAATATATGCAGACCAAGAATCGCTGTCTTTATTGCGAAAGTTTGCTAGAAATACAAAAGGGTGTTTAGCAATGTGCAGAGTGTTAATTAAAACATTTCAGAAAGGTAGAAACAACCTTAGGCAGGCAGAAAATGCTGGGCCTTACGACCACCTTGTGCCTATGCAAAATCAGAAAAGGTTCCATGCAGGATAAAAAATTCCAATTCAGACACTTGGCGAAGAGGTGGAGAGCCCTCCATCTACATTCTGCAAAGCAGATAAGGGAGAAGTTTCAGGGGAAATCCATGGAACAGGATCAGGGTGTATTGATCCCACAGAGTCACCATAGCATCCACTGCTTCCACTAGAGAATTCCTGTATGTTGAGGCAAACCTGTCCCATTTGTTGTTGAAGCTGGAGGTGACATCAATGCCTGGGATGTACATGGCGGACAAGGCTGGCATGTGAAGTCTGGTCCAGGACAGGATGCCTCTCTTGCTTTAGCAACGGTTCCTCCCTGATGGTTGATGTATGCCACCCCAG